CTAGTGTACCTTTAACCTGGTGTGAACTGTGAAACTGCTTAGATACGACGGTCATTCTTTGGTCTTTCGAACTTGCACTTGTGATTGAAATAAAGTTGATAAGATCGTGAAAGAAGTTGTAATATAGTCCTTGTTGGTTTGAATTTGACATTGGCTATGAGGTTGATCCTCTCCCCTTCTCTTGTGATTGCCATAGACTGGCTTTCTTGTATGCTCGATAAGGCGGCTTGGCTTAAAGATTGCACTGTTAGAAGTTAGAAATACCTAACTGTAATTAACCCGTTTAGTGTTAAGGGCTCGACTAAGTATATATATGTTGTATAGTCGAGTTTAGTTGTAACGATTACGTACGTAATAAATTATGAACTCTGCCTTGTGTCGTGGACTAGTCTCAACGTTCATTGTGGAGGAAACAACGTAAATCTTGCGTCTCGTGTTCTTGTGATTCTGTGTTTGTTCAGGTTTTGACATGGTATCAGAGCCTCGCTCTATTCTACTCTGAGCTTTTGTTCGTGTTCGTGTTTGGGTTGCTGCCTGCGCTCTCTCTTCGTGCCCTAGTCCTCGTGCCGCTGCGGAATCTCAGCTTTCTTCCCATTCCCTTGTTCTTGTGTTGCTGCGGATTCTTGTCTCTTTCTTCGTCTTTACTAAGGTTATTGCTATTGGATCTTGCGAGTTGTGTTTTATTCTTGTTCCGTGTTCGGATTGCTTTTGGGTACCTCTTCTTGATCAGCTATGGATGCTCCTCGCGATGATGCCTTCTCTGTCCGGTTTACTGGTAAATTTTTTGCACTCTGGGCTTTTCAGTTTCGCCTACATGTTCAAGGGCGACGCTTGTTGTCCTTCCTTGATGGTTCGGCCAAGGCACCGACAGCGGATGCTTCCACCAAGACACAAGAGGATTGGGAAGCCTCGAATGTTGTTGTTATGTCTGCGTTACTTGGGTCTATGGATCCCGGTATCGCATTAAGCTTGCTCGATTTTAATACGTCTGCGGAAATTTGGCAGCATCTCAATAATCTTTACTCAAAGTCGAGTGCCTCTCATAAGTTTGATATTGAGTGTGATCTTGGCCGCTTGACCCAAGATGATTCCGATGTAAGCACATATTATCAGCATGTTGTCACGCTCTGGATGGAACATGATCACTTGACTAGTTCATCGTTGTCTAGTGCCGTCTCAACTGAAGTCATTCAGGAGCGCACTATCACTCGTATCATGAGGTTCTTGATGAACTTGCGACCTGAGATTGAAGGAATTCGGGCTCTCTTATGCACCACAACGATGGATGAGATCCTGGGGGAGTTGCTTCATGAGGAGACACGCCTGTGTAGTCAGGCGAACTGGATATTAATGCTAGCGAGAATCCCACTGCCTTTGTTGTTCAGGGAGTGAAACCTCAGTTTCATCGTACTGCAAAGGGTGCAAATATTTGTCATCATTGCAAAGAACCTGGTCATATTCAGTATCACTGCAAGAAGAGGAATGTATGTAACTACTATAAGCATGATGGTCATGTGATTGCTGAGTGTCTAAAAAAGAAAAATATGTGCAATTACCGTAAACAAGAGGGCCACGTGATCGCTGATTGTCCTACTCTCACTCTTCAGGGCCGTGGTCGTGGCGATGGCTCCAGTGGTGGATTTGTTCATGGGGCAGCCTAAGCTACCACGGTGGTTGCTGCCAAACCATCTTCTTCTCTCACATCGGCCGATGTTCGACGTCTTGTCCAGAAGGCGTTGAAGGAAGCACTTCCTAGCGCTCTTACTTCAGCTTTTGGTACGAGTACAGTTTCTTCTTCTTCTTGGCATGTTAATTCTGCTGCCTATAATCATATGACTAGCTCCCGCAATTCCTTTAGTTCACTTAATACCTCCGTTCATTCTCTTGATTTACAAGTTGAGGATGGGTCTCTTGTGCCGGTTAAGGGTGTGGGACATATAACTCGGCCTCATATTTCACTACCAAATACTCTATATGTTCCCAAACTTGTGCCTAGTCTTGTTTCTGTGGGCCAGCTGGCAGATGATGGTTGTCGGGTTATTTTTGATCGTTCCGGGTGTCTTGTGCAGGACACGAATATGGGCAGGAGCTAGGGAGAGGGAGTAAGAGGGGTTGCACATTTATTTTGGATTCCTACTCTCGGTCAGGAGGCCAGGATGTGGGGAGTCTTGACAAAAGGAAGGATGTGGCAGTAGGGAAATTAGGAGTAGCTCAACATAATTTGTCGGAATCTAGTAGAGAGTGTTTGGTTTCTGTAGTGAAATTGTCAGGCTGGGATTTATTGCATTTTTGTTTGGTTATTCCTTATTCTGCCCGACTTCGTACTATGTTTCAGAATAAATGGTTATCTGGTACTGTTTTGCATGATCAGATTAATGAGTGTGTTCATTGTTTACAAGCTAAGATGACACAAAACTCATTTTCTTCAAGTTCTACTGTTTATTCTGAGCCATTTGATCTCGTAAATACGGATTTGTGGGGACCATCACCAGTCACATCTACTTTGGGGCATCGCTATTTTGCACTCTTTGTGGATCATGCCACACGCTTTACATGGGTGTTCTTCCTTCGTCAAAAATCCGAGTTATATTCTGCAGCACAGGACTTTATGGCCATGGTCTCTACACAGACGGTTAAGATACTACGTCAGATCAAATAGGAGAATTTACCTCCGGACTATTACAAAATCTCCTGCGTGAACGTGGTATCATTTCTCAGCAATCTTATACAGGTGTGTCCCAACAAAATGGTTTGGTGGAGAGGAAAAATCGACATGTTATTGAGCTGACCCGGGCTATATTGTTTCATTCTCTGGTTCCTTTGGATTTCTGGGTTGAAGCTGTTCATACTACTATTTATTTGATTAATAGACAGATCACTCCTATTCTACAGGAATAGAGTCTGTACCAGGTATTATACTCGCGTCTACCCAACTATGGTTGGCTAAAAGTTTTCGGGTGTGTGTGTTATGTTCTTCTCATTCATCAAAAACGAAATAAACTCACTCCCAAGTCAATCAAGTGTATTTATCTTGGTTATTTAGAGACTCAAAAGGGCTACATGTGTTATGATATTGCTGCACGGAGGGTTCGGGTTTCATGTCACGTTGTGTTCCTAGAACACATGTTGTATTTTGGAAGTCCAGAGTTTGCCTCCTCCCCACCACCCGATTTGGATTTCTTGAGTTTGCCAGAGCTGCCCACGTGTCCAGTCGCTGCCGATTCCTTCGATCATGACCCTTCTGCATCTTTGTCGTCATCCGCTACTTCCTCAACCAGCTCCTCCTCGACAGATTCCTACGACAGCTTGCCTTCTTCTCCGTCTTCGACCAGCTCCTCCTCGACAAGTTCCTCCGACCGCTCACCTACTTCTTCGTCTTCCTCTTCCCGTACGAGTACTACCTCCTCCCAGCAGCCGAATACATTGCCATTGTCCTCCTCGTCGACAAAGTCTCATCAGGTGGTTAGTGCAGCACCTCCACTGCGTCGATCTGACCGGTCGACTAAGGGTCAACCGCCTCGCCGTCATTCTGACTTTGTGGCATTTTCGACTCCTGCTATCGTGGTCCCTGCCTCTTACAAGCAAGCCAAGTGGCGGGCTGAATGGGATAATGTTATGTAGGTTAAAACTGATGCTCTAGAGGCACCTCACACGTGGGATTTAGTCCCTCGTTCTCCTAAATACTCGGTTATTGGTTGTCGGTGGGTGTTCACCATAAAAATGAATCCTGATGGTACTGTTGAATGGTTCAAAGCCCGGTTAGTGGCACAGGGGTTCGTACAGGAGTATGGTATCGACTATGCAGAGACTTTTGCTCTGGTTGCCAAGATGCAAACCATGCATAGTCTGTTGGCAGTGGCAGCAATGAAGAATTGGTCGTTAATTCAGCTGGATGTGAAGAATGCGTTTCTTCATGGTGATCTTAAGGAGGTTATATATATGGACCTCCCACCTGGGTACACGAAAGGTGATAGTTGTTTGTCGTCTTCGTCGGTCGTTGTAGGGTCTCAAACAAGCTCCCCGTGCGTGGTTTGAAAAATTCCATGACACAGTGATTCAGGCTGGTTTTGTGCAAAGGGATAGTGACCCATCTCTCTTTCTGCGTACTATGGCTCGTGGCTTGACTGTGCTTTTGATATACGTGGATGATATGGTGGTTACTCGCAGAGCTTAGCTCATCACCTTGACCTCGCTTGAGCTATTATGAACAGACTACTATAACTCCTTCAACGGTTGTAGTCAACTTAAATCCCATGTCAGCCTAACCTTTGAACTTGGTCTAGTTTTATTCATGCATGCACACGTTCTCGAGACTTTGGAAAAAAAAAGTAATGATATATAAAATCAAATAATGAATTTGTTCATTAATTTGCTATTAGAACCTTTGATCGAGAGGTTTCACGATCGAATATTTGTGACGACTCACAATATAAACAATGATTTAGCATAAAGATATATTTAACTTGTGTAAACTGAAAGGTCACAAGTAGCTTCGGTTAGAAAGAGTGTGTAAAAGAAAAGGAATCACATATAGAATTTATAATGAAACCGTTTCCAACAACTCGAAAGATTAGAACTAAATGCTTTATTATTCACAAGTGACCTGTGGCACTCAGACTTGCAACCACCTCTTGTCCTTCAAAAGCTCTAATAAGAATCAAATCCATGAAATCTTCAAATTGCTGTGAACATTAGCTGCGCTGTAATATTCAATAGCGCCAAAGAGGAGGTTTCCCACATTTACAGGGGGCCAACTGTAATTTTTCATGTGCCCTTATGAAACTTCACTTTCCGCTTCTCCCCACTCCAATCCATTGTTATCTAATTTTGTACTACTCAGTACTCACTCACCTTCCTCTGTCCTCCTGCTTTTAAACACAAAAAGTACCGTTACCAATTTCCTTCACTCTCTCTGTCAAATGAATTTTGATTATGAGACCGAAAAAAAAAAACATCCGAATATGTGATCGATTCGAATGTTCTTTTTCCGATCTCCTAAGGAATTGACAAATAATTTATTCGACACAAAATACAATCCAATACTTGAAAGTAAAATGTCAGCAAATTTACATTTTATATATAATCCCACAATCAGATCCACATCAATTTACCTTAACTCTATAGCTTCAACCATCACAAATACATAAAATTGACAACAACAAAAAAAAGGATCATTAAGAGAAGAAAAAATAAAAATTACTGGAAAAATTCCAAAATCCTACCATAACACACCCTCCTCCATACACAGACAGATTCATTTCCCCTTGCTCTCTGCTCTTGTTTTATTCACCGCTCCACTACTCTGCCTTTCTTGAGCGGGAAGAATGGCGGCAATGCGCTGCTGCTCTTCCTCTGGCTGCAAATCGGGACATTAATCATCGGCCTAATCCGAATGCTCGCCGATCTCGTCCTCTCCAATCCTCTCTTTGCCGCCCTCTTCACCTGATTTGTGTTATTACTGCTCTTGCTTTCTAATTTCTCCCCCTTCTTCTTCTTCTTCTCCTCCGCCGCGACGGCGGCGTCGGCGAGCGAGCTGGAAGACGAGGAATTGGAGGACGAAGACGAAGAAGGCGAGAGCGACGACGCCGCCGCCCTCTGCTTCTTCTTCAGCCTCAGCAGCTCCTTCCACAGTACCGTGCAATTCGGCGGCCGCGGCGACGGATCGTCGTCCACGAACCAGTTCACCGCCGCCGCCCTCGTCCCCGTCGGCGCATTTTCTTCTTTGCTCGCCGGATTCGCCGCCTCTCCGGCGTCGTCGCAATTGAGGCTGATTTTGTGGAGCCGCTCCGACTGCTGCATTTGCCAGAACGGGAGGAGCTTCCCTTCGAAGAAGAGCTCGTCGGCGGTCAGCATCTTGGCATGCCCCGCCGCCGCCGCCGCCGGCCCGGTGTTGGAGAGGAACTCGAATTGGAGATCCGCAGCGGTTCGAATCGGCGATGGGGATAGGGGAGGTTTCTGGTTTTGGATTTCGCGGGGGCGGTGGTTGGGGCTGATGGAGATGAAGTTGTTCTCGTCGAGGAATTCGGAGGAGAATGAGATTCTAGGGCTTGATGTCGGTTGATCCATGGTGGTGGATTTATTGACTGCTGGTAGAACTGTTTCCAGAGAAACCATTTCAGTTTTGTTTTTGCTTCGTGAGAAATAATTTGATGGAGGAAGAAGAAGGGAGGAACGAAGGGGAACTGAGAAGTGGGGTTTGGTGGTGAATGGGAGTTTGGGAGTATATATAAAGCAAATAGAGTGGAATTTCTTTTTTTATAAATGAATGATAAGAGTGAGAGAGTGGCTTTATTGATCATAATATTTTATGATACTGATATTTTATGTAGATCAAGGGATTAATGGCTTTTTAGTACCCATATTAGCCTGGTTTTGCACATAATTCCTTTATTTTCATGTTTGTTGGCAGTAAGATTTGGTCTTAGGGTGTGTGATGAAACCATACTAACTTTATCACTATGTAGGCAAAACATTGATTATTAATTCTTAATTTGTAGTGGTGGAGCTATGCCATATACGACATGGTTCAAACTTCCATATTAAAATTAGTATACGCGTAAAACTTCTTACGAATTCTTAAATCAGGAGACGTTTGCCCCCTACTAGTCTATCACGATTCAAATATTTCGAGCTTCCCTCATAATTTGGCTTTGTCATTGTTAATTTGCATCTAGTAGTATGAATACAATTAAGTAACAAGGCAGCTTACCTATTCCTGATCAACACGCCCCGCTAACTTACACGTCATGTATATTATACATTCGATTTTGGCCCGTTGTTGGGCACATAATTCAAATTTTCCAGATAATGGAGCATTTTTACTTGCTAGGGCAAAATATTTTTGTGAATCAAACTGTAACCGAAAGTAAGAGGATTTCAAGCATACATGATCGTTGAATTAATAACAAAAACAAAACAAAAAATAGGACTCCAGTTGTTTTCGATGAAATGTACAATCTGTGAACGAATAAACAACCTCGTAGTAGGACTAAAAATAAAAATAACCCTAAAGAAAACGTTTTGATCATCAATTTCTCTCTTTTAGTTAATCTCCCAAGTTGGGTTAATGTGTGTGATTAAGGAAGGTTGTGGGGAGGGCGGTGAGATTAAAAAAAAGTAGCCAAGTAGGTGGTCTCGAGATGCCCAAACAAGCGAGCTAATCAAAGTGGTGTTTATGGGGAACATCACATGGTGATACTTTGGGAGCTACTTAACCGGCTAGCCACCTCTCTCTCGTATGATTATCTAGCTAGCTAGCGTTAATCTATCTTCTATATTATATATAAAGCATATTCATGGGTTGAATTTTTTTCATTTCAAATTTCGAACAATCAGAGTAAAAATAGAAAGAGTATTTTTGTCTTCACAATTAGTTATTTATTTTGTATGAAAATATATCAACACCAAGATTTGAACCATGGTCTTTTTAAACAAATACAAGAAACATAAACAATTACACTAAACAAATACTTTATTACAAAACATACACGAAGTTAAAATCTGAAAAACAGATGACTTTTGCATAACGATAAGCTAGCTCACTAAGCAGTGGCAGAGGCAGGATTCGGAACTACCCCTGTCCTTTTTCAAATATAAAAATATAAATAATTGAAATTAAAATTAACAATATCCAAATAATCCATTAATAGATAAAGAATAAGCGATTAATACAATTATTGTTTGCATAAACAACCACGACTGAGTTTTTCATATTACGAAAGAATTACAAAATACATTAATTGTTTACACTCTTAAATGAGCCTCTTTCGATATTCCCACTAAACAATCATTAACAAACTGATCATCAATTCGATTTCGAACTTGTTCTTAATATGTCAATCTAAAAATGCTCGTTTTACGTTCGGAGTTGCAACTGGTAGTATCAAAACTAATTCCAGAAGTAAATAAACTGACCGATATAACCTATGCACTTTTGTCTCCACCATGTTCTGAGATCATTTATCAATTTCTTTTAATCCAACAAATCTCTCATCAGCCATAAAATCATTATAATACCCAACAATCTATTGTCGAATAATAGTGTCATGAATATAACCAATAAATTAATTATTTTTTGACAATTAATGAACAAGTAATGAATTATAGTGTAGAGCCAACATATCCTTATATTACTTGTAGGTGTTAAGTTTATTCTCCATTCAAACATATATAGGATTATTTTTTTCCCTCCCAAAATTTGCCCCTGTCCTGGGACAAAGGCAAACTGCTCTCCCTCCGCCTATGTCACTAAGTGTCATGTAAGTATCTTTATAGTGCTTGATACTTCAATTTTCATATTTGATTATTTTCGTTCTATACTATCCTCCAATCTATAAAATATATGAAGGAGATTCATGGGTTAAATTTTCTCAATTTCAAAAATTCAGCAATCAGAGTGATTTTCGAAAGGAAAAAAATTGTCATTTACCACACTTCAATTAGAATGCTTCGTTTAAACATTTATGTTGGGCTTTAAATCTGTCGCACTAATTGTACCGTTTCCGCTAGACTTTAAATTCGTTGGGTTCTATTTCACTTCCAAATTTATTTTTTATTTTATTGTTATGCTGCTGGAGGGACGCAAACTCTTCCAGCCTCTAAACCTGGATAAGAGGAAACAAAGAAGCGGAAATCTCGCAGCCATAACTTTGTCACCAACTCGGTCGTTCTTGGGACCTATCCATGGAGCCTTCGACACCTTTTCTGCCAGACAAAGCTAATCAACGAGCACATAGAGGTCAAATAGGTCTCCCCAAAGTCGTGTTTCGCTTTGCAACCACAACTGTATATGAGTGTCGGAGATCCCAAGAATTGCTAAAGAAAAATTACTAACTCCGATAACAATACTCCTTGAGAAACAACATTTGAAAAACAAATGATCACATGTCTCACTAGGTATGGCATAAAGTGCATCTATCTTCATTTAATTTACCCCCACCACATCAACTTTACATTGGTTGCTATCGCATCCATGGCCACAATCCATGTTATGATACTCCAACGTGACACATTGAATTTACTCTAGAGAAGAGCAGGATATTGTTGTTTTCTCTTCACAAGACGTATCGTATCCCAGACTACGCTCACTGAGTAGCATCAATTTCCCATTCCAAAAGCCTTCATCACCCTGCTTCCTCATAAACGACTGCATAGTTGGCCGAAACTTCAGAATCCATCGCCACGCCCAATCTTCTCTTTTTTCACCTATCAAATAACAAAAGGATGATGTATTTTCCATAAATCCAATTATCAAACAAAGCTACACATGAACGAAAAAGTAAGTTATCATTAGTTTAATAAAATCTCCAATCTTGAAGATTCTAATATCATTTTCGCTTCCATAATATATATGGTACTAATCGTTGGTTACAATTTACTTCCATCTCATTTTGGCCTTTAGATTAATCTAACGGTTTTATTAGGCCATATTAAATTAATAATTTTATATGATTCGGATTATGATACAAAACCTAGACATAAAAAATCTACAAAATCTCAACCATAGAACCATTTATCGAAAGAACATGTATTTTTAACAATTATAATATTAGTTTTAACTATACGAGTTAGTACCTATTCCATGTTGTTATTTTCTTTATAATATGTAACCTATTAGTTAAATGGTCAAAGATAGAATTCTGTTGATATTGTTATGTGAATGGGGATAAGGGTTAACTCATGGCGATGAACACAGACTATAAATTAGTGGATTTTTTTGTTTCATGTATTAGACCTTTATATTGGCAGGTTATAATTTTTTTGTCTATATCTTTTACTTTTGGTTATCTAATTGACTGGGAAACACAAGATTTTTTTCATGTACAACTCTTATTAGATTTCTTGATATTGAACTTCTCACAGTTAACTCTTTTTGACAATATCTTTGACTCTTATCTTCAAACTCGCTCATCTAACTAATTGTCTCTTTTTATATCTGGTGGTATTATCTCTTTTTATATCTAACTAATTGTCTTTCCTTATGTTTCTTTTGGTAGCATAATTAAAGGCCTTTGTTTCACATTTGAATATGCTATTGATTTTAGGGAGAACAAGATGCAACATGAAGGCACAAAGTTACTTTAACATTTGGTCTTCAAAGTGAGCTCTCATTTATTGAGTATTTGAGATCAATTTGTTCTTTATTGCCCACTGTTTTGTCTACCTCTATTTTCACATTCAAAATATTAATACTGAAATTAACAATGAGGCATCTAAAAGCTCAATTTTCAAGTATAACTTCCGCAGTGCACAAAATACTCATTTGATTTTTCTTTTATGCATCGAGCCCTTGACTCATGTTAAGAATGCTCACTCTGAATCTTGGCACTAGGTCATTCTCTGGTTTCTCTAACAACTTCTACAACGACACTCTCATCCATGGATGCAAAATGATCACAAATTCTATAGCATATTAGTTTGTGCAAAATATGTAAGGTTAATGTTGTATCGAAGGTGGTTTTCACGTCATCGTGGTACATCTTCAACATGCTACTTCATATTGTTGATCAATCTCTAATGTGCCCTATATATTCTTTCACAGGATAAATTTCATATCTATAACGTACCGTGGTGAATAAAGATGGTAACTATTGAGAAAAAATATTTGATTAAACTACATGAATTGACTATCATTTTCTTTTATGATTAAGATTGATTTTGTGTGTGTAATGAAAGAAAGCTCTCATGTTGTCCTACATGAAATACACAATAATAGACATCATTTATTTTTAAATATCGCTATTAGTTGTTTATATTTTTTATTCATTTCTATATTTTTTTATCTATACCAAAAAATTACATATTATAAATGACAACAATACATTAAAATATATAATAATCAAACTCTCCCGGCGAAGGATCGGGCCAGGTGCTAGTCTTGTAGAGTTGGCTTTGCTACTTAACCCCACGAGATTAGTTCCAACATTTAATTTATTAAGTACGGGATGGATTAATTGGAAAATGAAATAATTTGATTAATTGTCTCATTTTACGAAACGAGTCATTTGAAAATAAGTCGATTTAAATTACTTGTCCACCATTCCAGAAAATTGTAATTGTCTAAAAAACGAGTCAATTCGAAATTCTTCAGATCCAATTGTTTCATCCAAATTTTACAATGTCAAATGGGTTAATTTGACCCAATTGTATTAAAACGAGATAATTGAATCAAATTTATATGTTTAACTAATAAATAA